ACTTTGATGGATGTGAACAAAATGGTGCGCATGCAAGCTCCCAGTCGTCTCCTACAGCAGTTTGAAGACGAAGGTGATGCATTTTTGAAGTCTATAGTGACCACTGATGAAATGTGGGTGCACTACTTCATTCCAGAGTCCCAGCAATCATCGCGCGAGTGGTGGCATACCAGTTCTCCCAAACCCAAGAGAGAGCGGAGGAGCCGTTCAGCAGGAAAAGTGATGGCAACGTTCTTCTGGGACTGGCAGGGGGTTATCCATGTAGACTTTCTGACAGATGCCAGAACAGTCAATGCAGCTTATTACTCAGACCTCCTGGCAACAGACGTGAAGGAAAAGATCCGATCCAAGCGGAAGACAGGTGGAAAGCGGGTAGCCTTCCTTCAAGACAATGCACGCCGCCATACAGCCAAAACAACAATGGAAACCCTTCGGAAATTGAAGTGGAACCTTCTGACACATCCGCCGTACAGTCCCGATTTGGCCTCAAGTGATTTCTACCTGTTCGGAAGGCTCAAATCAGACTTGCAAGGCATGTGGTTTGTGGACGACGCCATCATTCAGACTGTTCGGGAGTGGATACGCCACCAACCACAAGTCTTTTTCTTTTTTGGGCATCAAGATGCTTCCAGAAAGTTGGAAAAAATGTATTGACTCCAGAGGGGAGTACGTTGAAGACTGACATATGCAAGTGTTTGGCAATTATGATTTTTTTTTTAAATCAGCCCCGGTCATATTTGAACCACCTTGTATATTTCTAACTTGTCCTTCCCCAGGTAGATGGTAGTTCTTCTTTTACCTACCCTAGTAATGCTACGAGAGACCTCAACAACTTCAGATGATCAATATTACTGTCTGATTTTCAGAATATAAGTCAAACCACAAGTGGCAATGGCAATGGCTCGCCAACTGGTCAGGCCTCAACGTCTCATCCACCTTCAGGGTCTCAGTCACATGTCACTACAAAAGTTACTGCCACAGCCCATGTTAAAGTTGAAGTACACACACCACTGCCAGGTGAGCAAAACTCTCAGTGCACACACCACTGCCAGGTGAGCAAAACTCTCAGTGCACACACCACTGCCAGGTGAGCAAAACTCTCAGTGCACACACCACTGCCAGGTGAGCAAAACTCTCAGTACACACACCATTGCCAGGTGAGCAAAACTCTCAGTGCACACATCACTGCCAGGTGAGCAAAACTCTCAGTGCACACACCACTGCCAGGTGAGCAAAACTCTCAGTGCACACACCACTGCCAGGTGAGCTAAACTCTCAGTACACACACATCACAAGGTCTCCTAACTAAAGCAGGAGCTCAGTCTTGGCCAGAAAGAGAGGAAACAAAACCTCCCACACATGAGTAACACATGGGAAGGCAATACATAACCACAACATCAACCTAAAGGTAAGGAAAACAGACACACCCCCCAACCCAACCTACAAACTTATAATACATGCACTAGTAACACATTCATAGTTCAGATCATAGGAAGAAACTAAACAAGACTGTACACTGGTGAACACCACCTAAACATTGTGGAAACACAAAGCAAGAGGGAAGTGACAGCAAAATGAAGAGAGAAGAAAAAAAGTACCTTTTAACACCCAACTTAATTTTAATTCCAATTAGAATATTTTTTAAAAATGAGTTTTAATATTTAATACAGTTTATAACATACGGGCATAACTAAAACAAAAAGGGATTTATGATGTATGCTGGTGAAATAGCTTCATGTGGCATGATATATACCAAGTTTTATGAAGACTGGTACAGGCATTCAGGTGATAGTAAGGTTCTGTCTAAGAAATATGAAGAGGTTGTAATGTTGGTATTACTGATGAGAAAAATTTATGAATTATGTCATTCAGATTGACTCAGGTGCCATGATATGCATACTTAGTTTCACAGAATTAGTTCAGGCATTCAGGAATTGTTAGGAGACACATGCATGCACACATGCAGACAGACAGCAAGGTGATCTCATGAGCCTCCTTTTATTTTTTTTTCTTCAAAATAAGTAAAGTAGGCTAATGATTAGTTCTGTGTTCTGGGATATAACACCATTTAGTCTACTGAAAGTCAAATGACGTTTCAGAGACGATATATATCAGGTATCATACTAGTTTCTTGCCTTGTTTATTCTTTGACCCTGAATATGGGATGGCATATTCCTCTGAAGGTCAGTTGACTTTCAGTGGACTACACAGTGTTACATCCGAGAACATAGAACTCTTCATAACCAGTGCTGCGAGAACCCCCAGAGCCTACATGAAATTATGATGATGATAATAATGTTATTAAATTGATTACAGGAGCAGTGGAACGTGACTTGGGAAGCAGCAGTAGCAGCAACAAAAGTCATTCAAGTCATCACAGGGACTCTAGCTCAGGCTGTGAGCATGACTCATCCTCAGATAACTCCGGCAAACAGGATGGCAGCACGTCTTCCTAGCACACAGCTCAAACGTTGCTACATTGCTCCCATGATGATGATCAAAACTTGGCCACTAAATCACTGAAACAGTAACCTGAATGGGACAGGCGAGAGTCTTGATGACTTACTTCCCCCTTAGCCCATGAAATACAGATTCAGCACCTACAAGTTGATGCACACTTGCCCGCTTGATAGTTTCATTATCATCCAGACAGATACAGTTCCTTATCTCTCTAGAACATCACATTAAAACATCATGAAGTAAGTAACTCTGGAACAAAAGGACAGATACTAAGTTAAATGGTTGTGCATTCAGGGATGTGGAATAAAATCAGAGTATAGACTCCATGGATTTGAGCCCTTGAGAACTGTGTTACTCTTCTGTCCTAAGATGAATAGATATTATTGTGTTCATTATATTCCTTTATGGAATTAAAATCTTTTTACACTAACCTTCCATTCTAGAACACTGATTTAAAATTTCTAAATACAGCTTTCAAAAACAAAGGCCACAAACTGCAGATGTAGGTGAACACTTCCCAGGTATTGGTGGGAAGCACAAGTTTGTGATTATGTACACCTACTGACCCTATGTTTACCAAAGCAGTAACTTACATATGTCATGAACTGCCTTTGAATGCAAACAGTTGCAATACTTAATATACATTCTGAACAGTAATCTTTACAAGAATAACTGAGATATAAAACCAAACTCTAATCTGTTTTTGTAACTTTAAATACGAATGTGAAAAACTGTACAGTGTGTGTAATGGAAGTGACTCTAAATCATACAATGAAATTGTTTCTTATGAGGAAGAGGAATGTATTTATAAATGCACCTTTAAATGCCAAATTAAACACTGGGTGTTGTCCCCATGACACCTAGTTATGTCACACTTTAATGTGATGTTTATATAGCATACTTTAATTCATGAACCCTTTTCCTATTCATATTAAATTTGGCAAGGCAAGATTTAATAATATATATAAATATGGAACTGTTTCAGACAAAAGTTTTATATTTATTACTAGTATACATATTTATCTTATGTACATATTTTTTTATATGATGAACCATAAGAAAATACACAACAAATACTATTTCATGGTACTTAATTCTCAGGAATGTTTTACTAATATTTTTAATGAAACAGAAAATCATTACCATGAAATATCCATTGTTAGACTTGACAGCCTTTCAAGCCTTACTTCAGTCACTTCTCTGAAGGCACGCTTGCCTTTCGGGCAAACTCTGGAAGCAACTCATTTTGCTAAACAGCTGCAGGACACAATTCTAGGGTAAGAAATGATTATTGCTACTGACGCATTAAATAAAAATGTTTTGGATGGTCTCAGGAAGCTGTCAGGCATTCATTGCCATAGCTTGTCAGTCTGGAAACGTCATAGACTTCAGAGTGAATGTGTGAGACTGCCCTGATCTGAGAGCATTGCGCCATTACATTAAGAGTTAAAGAATGGAAAATTCATGTGATAATGAAGCATTTAATTTCTGATAATATGTGCGATATGGCTTACATTAGAATACTGGCAATTTTTGGAGTTCATGCTGAGGTCATGTTTTAAAAAAAAATTATGTTCTCATATGTGTATGTAAGACTCATTCTGATGTGTACCCCAAAGGCAACGCACAGTGCCTTAAAAATAAGTACTATATTTCGACTCTGTGTTTATGCTCAAAAGGCATGCAAAAAAGGGTGGTGTGTTTTGATGGTTATGGCGTCTCGCATTTTGGTGAGAAGTGTTAACAGAGGCATCAGAAGCAAAGAGACTAATATACTCTCAGCTTGTATGTATGTTACCAGTGCCTTAAAACTCAAAACGAGATGAGGCATCAAGCAGTATATATTTCAAATTCTTTGTGTGCGTGTATATATATATATTTTAACAACGATCAGTTTAACATTCAACTGAGGCACAAACTGACCACCAGAAGCAACCTAGTACCTGGTTTCCATTCACATCCATATTACAGTCTCATATACTGGACATTCTACTGTTGGCGCTATGCTTCCAATATGCAGTTAATAGAACGTAGCCCTAAAAGTACTTTCTTTTACAATTTAATAATTTCATTCTAAATCCTGTATGTTGACCAATATCAGATCTATCTAAGCAGCAACACATGTTGGGTTTGTAGCTGTTATGGGCAATGGGGCTACACGAAAATTATCTACAAAATTGTGATTGGATGTCAAATTCGTATAAGAGTAATTCTATTATATTTTCAATATGGCATTAATTAATTTTTAACATGAAATTAAAGAGCCCTTAGCAGAGGTTATAGCTAAAATTTTCAAGTAGTGAATGCACCTCTTCTTTAAGCTTTGACAGAGTTGATATTCATTCATGTGATACAGGAGTAATTGAATTGCTGGAGGACATGAGAATAATATTATGACAGAACCAATGCAAATGTTTGTACTTTCATCAATGATATTTGTAAAGAGCATTTGTGACACCATATCACAAAGTTCATTAAGAAATGTGTAATAAGAATGTAAAAGATCTTGTTTTGCATTAGGAACTGAATTAAAAATGGTACACAGCAAATAATATTGGATAAACAAAGGGCATAGTACCTCAGTTTACCCTGCCAATTTTCATTCCACCAACTGCTCTACATTCATTAGTCATCCTGTCATCAAACATTATATAGTCAGGATGCTGACAGCAGCATTGTTAAATAACAAACCAATTACTACTGCAGAAAAGAAAAAAAAATTATGCTCACAGGAACCTGTTTTTCACTGAGCACAGCAAATGGAACAGAGAGCAGACAGGAATATAAGCATCAACAATAGAAACCAGATTCACCCAACAAGAACTGCATTTATACTCTCTTACGTTGCTGCAATGGAAGAGATTACTGGACTTTACTGAAGCAGTTTACATAAATACTCATCATATATAGATATTTGTGACACTTGTAACTGGAGCAACTGAGAGCCAGAAGTACTGCTTCACCCACATACAGAGGGATGCACAAAATTCCAGTCATTCTCAAACTGTTTGTGTTGTTTATATTAGTTTTGGCTTCATTCATAATTTCTGGAACACTCACCTGCAACATAAACATTAAACAAAATAAACAGTGAAAATGTGAATAAAGCTAATATTACTTCTTGGCACTTATGTATTCAGAGGGTAAAGTGGGGTACAGTGAGGTATTCTGCATACACCAAGCATGGCTATGTAATTTATAGATGGAAGGAATCATAATATTTTTAATTCTTAAATATTTTACATCTCAGATGACTTTATACTTTGAGAAATATGATTCAATGGGAACATTTACTAGTAGGTAAGGACATAGCCATGAAAATAAAGGTGAAAAATTTTAAAACACTGGATATGGTTTTCTTTCAGCTAAGATTCAAGAACATTCAATTGCCATGCAGGACAAAATCTGCCATGTGTTAAAAGATTAAATTTCATTTTGTACAAAGCAAAGTGTTGACAAATATATTTTCTTGAAATCAGGACTTGCAGAAACATTTTTGAAAACAATTTATTAATTGTATCACGTTAAGCATATAGCATGTTCAGAATTCAAACATGCAGAAGACTGTCCCGCAGTAATAAATACAATGTATATGTACAATGACCAAAACAACAGTGAGGCTTACCATGAAAGTTTTCATATAGTCATGTAACTTCTTTCTTGCAGCAATTTTATCATATAAAAATCAATTATATTTTATTAACCATTATTTATAAAAGAAACCAAACTCTTTCCCATGAATAATATATGCAATGTTTTTAAATATAACAAGTTTGTATACTAGTAACATTGTTCTTCATTCAGGCATTATTGTAGTGCCAGTTTTACCAATGTGTAATTTTGTATATTTCAACTTGTACCTCTGTGTATAAGGTACAGACAATATTTTATTATTATTTATGAAGGAGAAGCGGATCAGTGTGAGGAAATGTGAGTGTGTTCTGTGACACCTTCGCAATATTATCAGACACAGCTGCTTGAATACCATTACAGTCATCTTTGAAACCAAGTATTTCTGTGTGCAGCCTGATTATAAATTTACTTTAATTACAAAATGTAATCTCTACACTGACTGAAGGTTGTGCTGTACAGTTACGTGCAAACATATCACAAAAAGTTAAGGTCATGCTTATTTGCAGGACTAGCTTTAAATAATGCCTTGTCACAGTGAAACAATTTTAAGATGATGTGAGGCTGCTAGAAATTTTGCTCAGACTTAATCTGAGGGGTATGTGGGAGCAGTATGCTTCATGCTCTCTGCCTGGTCCCTCAGATTGCATAATCACAACCCCTGGTTCCTCGTTAGGATTTGCAATGGATAAGTGAAAATAAGCAAGATTTGAGGTTCTCATAGGGGTGACTATGAAGAGAACCAGCTCCTGGGATGTGACATCAGGCAGTCTAGTGTTCACTGACATTTTGGAGGAACATACTGCTTTCATTTGAAGTGTCAACAAATAAGCAGTGCAAGTAGTGCTGCAGCTTACGCTTTGACCCTGAATATGGAGGCAGCATGTTCCTCCTGAACATTGGCAGATACCTACTGCATACACAGATGGCATCACATCCCAGAAGATAGTGTTCTTCAAGTTTAAAGAAATCATTCCATGTGATTAGACCATTTATGCATACCACATACAATCACGTGACTGAAGAAATTATCACCTGTATATACAAAAGTCCTGTGGGAACATCTCACATATTATCACACATTTCTCCAACGCTCGCTATTCAGCTCACTTTTCACCTACCACGCGCGCTTCCAATCACGTCGGGGTCACCAATGTGGGATGTCATATGAAGAGACAACCACTAGTTGAACTGTAGAATCTAGAACTGTAACTGAACTGAACCGAACCCGACGTGATTGGAAGTGCACGTGGTAGGTGAAAAGTGAGCTGAATAGCGAGCGTTGCAGAAATACGTGATAATATGTGGGATGTTCACACATCCCCAAACTGTGAAAAGCTGTGTGCATTAGTATAAATTGTTTCAGGTATGAATACAATGGACTATGGAAGTGCCTCATCTCTTTCATCCCATACAGAAACAACACGAACGAAAAGGAGTAGCTTTTCTTGTAAAAAGATGTACAGATTTTCTTGTAACAAGCAGATGGAACCACCATTGTAATTATAAGCACTATCATATTGTAAGTATTGTACGTCAAATGAAAATAGCTGTAATTTTATTTTTTAAGTATAAAGTATATTTTAATGCAATGTTAATTCACAACAAAATGACATTTGCTATTAATATAATATAAAGTGAAAGTACCTTTAATGGATATTCTTGCTTATCCCAAATAGGGTGCAGAATGTATGCATGTGTATGGCATAGATGTGGAAGACATTAAACTGTGTAATTGAAAGTATTTAACTTAATTTCATGACTAACAATCCTGATCCTAGTACCCTGATAGGGCATCTTCCTTCCCACCACCCCTGCACGTAAAATACATTGACTGTAACACGCCTGGTAAAATAAAAAGATTACAACTCCCAAAATTACACTATCTACATGTACAAATTTGGCAGGTGTGTCTGTCTGTACTACCATTTCTCCAAAATGGCACACCATAAAAATTTGGTAAAGACAGAGTATTTCTTTTGGAGAGAACCAAAGAAAAATTATTATTTATGCTGCTACGTGCATCGATTTGAGTGCAGTGCCCTTCTTGGGTAGAGTTTGCTGTGAAGCTGCAGAACGTGCCATGTTCTGGCCACACACTCACATCCCATTATACTGCATTGCACTCAGTGCTGAGAAGTGCCCAACTCATGAATCCCATGGCAATAGACTGACAGGTGAACTGTTTTTTGGCATGCGCATTTGTGTGTGGGCATTGTAGTATAACATTTATAAATAAACTGTCCACTTTTATTACAATTTTACTATATTGATTTTTGAACTCTGTCCAGAGTTTCTAAAATAAGAGTGAAATTTTACAACTACACTATTACAATAGATACGAGGGTTGGAACTTTAATAGTGGCAACTATTTATTTACAACTGATACAAAATAGATGTCCTTCAATGTAGTCACCAGCATTGTGTACAACCCGTTGCCAGCGAGGTGGAAGTCATAGGATATCTTTAGCAGTGCCTGCTGTGATGCTAGTTCGAATGGAGCGGTCTACTGACTGAAGAATCTCTGGAACAGTTCTGAAGCGAATGCCACGAAGTGGCTCCTTCATCTTAGGAATCAAGTTGAAGTCACAAGGGCTTAAGTCCGGGGAGTATGGTGGATGGTACAGCACTTCCCAGCCCCATCGATTGAACAAATCAGCCACAGCTTGCGCTGCATGCGGCCAACCATTTTCCTGTAAAATGATAGGTGGGTTCTGCAGAAAGTGTCGCTGCTTCTTTCTCAAAGCTGGTTGCAGGTTGTGTTCCAAAAATGAACAGTAATACTGCGCATTGACAGATTGCTGTCGGGGAATGGTATGCGTTAACATACCATCATCACAGTCGTACACAAGAATCACCATAACTTTCACATTGCTGGGGTTCTGATGAACTTTTGATTTTTGTGGTGACCAGTAATGACGCCATTTGTTCAATTGGTGTTTCATTTGTGGCTCATACGATTTGGCCCATGTCTCATCCAGCATAATGATATGGCATAAGAAAGCCTCTCCTTCGTGCTCATAGCGCTCCAAGTGGTTATGAGCAGCATCGTATTGTAGCCATTTCTGCATTTCTGTCAAACCATGTGGAACCATCATGATGCAATTTTTTTCATGCCCAGGCATTCCTTCAGAATGTGAAGCACAGTCATATGGACTAATCCTGTCCCTCGGGCCAGCTCATGAATCGTATGGCGTCAATCACTCTCCAGTAATGCAGAAAGAGCATACACTTCTTCTTCACTGACACTAGGATGACCTGGCCGACGCATGTCTGCCACATTTTGGTGTCCCCCGTTGAAGGCTTTTGCTGACCTTGCCACTGGTCTGTAAGACAATGCAGATTCCCTGCAAGCCTCTTGAAGACCATGATGACAGTGTCATGCTGTACGGCCTCTGGCACATTCAATCTTTATCCAACTCTGTTGTTCCTGTTTCGAAAACATCGTGACAACACTACATTAGACCGCCAGCTAACATGAGGTTCTGTTCTTCTCGTCACTGCACATGCACGTGATGTGGGAAGGGAGAGTCCATTTGATCTGAGGTAAGGTAGGTATGTAACTAACGTGTGGTATAAGCGACATTATTTGGTTCCGTTGCATGGCATCTCTACAGCAGTGTTGCCACTATTAAAGTTCCAACCCTCATATTTTACCATGCAAAATATTTTGCATTTATAATTTATTCTCACCGACACTGTCATCTGAGGGTGAAATCTGAGTAACTTGGCAATGAAACGGTGACCACATAACCTTTTACAAGAAACCACGTGGGTGGTCATAACCATATTCACAGCCACTATTATTACTGTAAGTTTTATGTTAATGATAAACGAATAGTACTAAGTGTGTCCCTTGCCACCAATGGCATGACATGTTCCCAGGTTCTGCCATGCAATGGCTTCCAGATATGGAAGGTAGCTGCAAATTTATTATGCAGCTGTGGACAACCAAAAAGGGGTGGTACACTATCTTAGGGTTTGCGCAGGGGACTAAGAACTCACCATAATAATTGAGCATGTTATGAAATCTTGCACAGGGGCTTGACCTGAATGAATTCTTTTGATCAACATACGCTATGGAAAATGGACATGGGATTTGGAAGTTAAAAGAGACCGTAGAGAGTCTACATAGGGAAGATTCATTAACAACGGTAGCAAGGGAACAAGCAAAGTACAAGTTTGATTTAATGAGAGCACAGGAGATCAGATGGGACAAGGGCAGTAATGGACCAGCAGATCATTACACATTTCTCTATGGAAATGGGAATAACAATTGTGAATTAGGGACAATTTTTCATGCATAAGAGAACCATATCAGCAGTTAAGAGGGTAGAGTTTGTTGGTGCTAGGATGTATATAACTCCAAACGATCATGTTCTTCTGAAAGTGCATGTTGCAGCTGAGAATGAAGATGATAATACGTAGGCGAGTCAAATGAAAACCTTAAATATTTTTTTGAGTATTATTTATTGTGCACAAGTGGTACAAAGCTGTATCACTTTTCAACATAATCTCCCCCAAGCTCAATGCAAGTCCTCCAGTGCTTACAAAGTGCATGAATTCATTTAAAAAAATTATTTTGGTAGTCCGCGCAACCACTCATGCATTCTTCATCAGAACGGAACGTCTTTCCTCCCATTGCTTCTTTGAGTGGTTCAGACATATGGAAATCACTTGGGGCAATGTCTGGTGAGTATGCCAGACGAGGAAAACACTCAAAATGCAGGTCATTGATTGTCACAACTGTTGTACGGACAGTATGGGGCCTAGCATCGTCATGTTGCGAAAGGATACCTGTGGACAGCAATCCACGACGCTTTGATTTGATTGCAGGCCGAAGATGATTTTTTAGGAGATCTTAGTATGATGCACTGGTGACAGTGGTCCCTCTAGACGTGTAGTGCTCCAAGATGACGCCTTTTTCGTCCCAAAAGAGTCAGCATAACCTTCCCTGCTGATGGTTGTGTTCGAAACTTCTTCGGTTTTGGAGTTGAGGAATGGTGCCATTCCTTGCTCGCTCTCTTCATTTCTGGTTGGTGGAAGTGAACCCAGGTTTCGTCCCCAGTAACGATTCTTGCAAGGAAGTCATCACCTTCTCGTTCAAAGCGCCGCAGAAGTTCTTCACAAGCATCAATATGTCGGTCTTTCAATTCATGAGTCAGCTGCCGTGGCACCCATCTTGCAGACACTTTGTGAAACTGGAGCACATCGTGCACAATGTGGTGTGCTGAACCATGACTAATGTTTAAACTTGCTACAATTTCATTCAGTGTCACTCAGCGGTTTTCCCTCACTATGGCTTCAACTGCTGCAGTGTTCTCTGAAGTCACAACTTGATGTGCCTGACCCGGACAAGGAGCATCTTCCACTGAAGTCACACCATTTGCAAACTTCCTACTCCATTCGTACACTTGCTGCTGTGACAAACATGCATCACCATACTGAAACTTCATTCTTCGATAAATTTCAATAGGTTTCACACCTTCACCACACAAAACCGAATAACAGAATGCTGTTCTTCCCTGGTGCAAGTCTCAAGTGGGGCAGCCATCTTATACTGGTGCTGTGACGGTGTTCGTGCATCTGCACTATGCTGCAACCTACAGGCCATTCTGTACGCTGTTTGTAGCACGCTTACCAACTTACAGGATAATGGTGCGAAATTTCGATTTTTTATTACAAATTTAAGGTTTTCATTTGACTCACCCTCGTATAAAAGCAGCTTCTGTGAGGAACCATACCATGTATTCAATAAATACCCCAAATGTCACATGAAAATTCTGTTGGGAGGTTTCAATGACAAATTAGGGACAGGAAACATTTTCAGGCAGAACTGAGAGTATACATGAAACCAGTAATGTTAATGGAGCTCTAGTAAT